GAGCTCCACTGTTGGTCGTGCGGACATCTTCAGGCTGGACATCACCCTGGCAGAGGACACGTTCCGCACTTTCCGCATCCCCCTGGATGCTTCTTGCTCTTTCGGCATGCTTGCTGCCCTCGTGGCCCACCGTTCCGGCACCCCTGTGAACCGCGTTGCCTCCCTGCAAGAGGCTTTCCTTTCGCACCGTCCGAGCTACTCCGAGAGCAGCTTTCAGGTGATTCCCACCTGTTTGCTCTCCAGCACTCCCTGGAAACCAAGCCTAAGGAGGCGAAGGTTGAAGTTAAGGAAGAAACCCAGGATGTGGTCTCCACTCCTGTGGCAGCCCCGGACCGCCCTTCACTTGAAGCCAGCGATGGCCCGGGCCTTCCAGCCCCAAACCTTCAGGATGTGGTCTCCACTCCTGTGCCGCCCACGCCTTCCTCAAGTGTGGTGGAAGTCATGGCCACGGAAGAGTCCCCCTGGGCCCGGCGCCAGTTCCTCATGGCGATCAAGGAGGAGGCCCCTGACGCCAGCATTGCCTCACTGGCTAGAGCCAACAGACACCGCCCGAGCCTTCCTCACCACATGTTGGCCGACACCGTCACGTTGCTCAAGGATCTGGTGTCAGGGGAGCCCCTCCCACAAACTCGCAGCCTTCAGGTCCTCGGTACCGGGGCTAGGAGGCGGGTTTACGAATTCGAACCAGGACTCGTTCTCAAGCTCACGAGTGAGGAGATGGGGCATGGATTAGAGCCTGCGTGGTGTGACAAATTCCTTCCCCTGACTTGCAAAGTTCATGCACACGGCCAGTGCTCGGTTAGGCTCTCGGAGTCGGCTTCGACTCACCAGGAAGCCACCATGTCGTGGTTGATTCAGGAGCGGTTTGAGGCCCACATGAAGGACTACGTGCCGCAGGTTGGTCCTGGGAGCCCGACCGTCGTCCAGCTGCTTGCGTGCTTCGTCTGTGTGAAAAGCAGAGCTCGCGCAGCTGTCTCTTTTTCACTTCGCACTTGAGCCAAACACCAAAGTGTTCAGCAAGCTTCAGTTCTTGCAGCAAGCTCTCTCCAAGAGCTAAGGGCTCCAAAAAGCTTCGAATTCCATCTCAACTTTATTCTACAAAGGAGGTAAAGCAAAAGAACAATGCAACTGCTTTGGTCTACACCTCGGGGACTTCAGGTCACTTCCGAACAGCAAACAGCGAAGCTTCAGAGTCCACTCTGCACTCCTACTCCCATCCTACACATCCAACGGCAATGAACGAAGTGGCGGGAACACGGAGTGAGTTGCAACAAGACAGAACCTCAGAGTTCTGACACGCACTTCATGCTTTAGGGACTTTGGGCAAACCAAACATGCTCATGCCAAGTCATGCAGCAGAAAAACTCTCATGCTTCTCTCTGTGCAATCCACCACATAGCACCAACTGGGCAAACACTACATGTGAATTTTTCTTCAGCAAGCGCAGCGTTACCCAGTGGGCGTCCTTCATGCAAACGAATTCGCCCGGAGCCCCTTTGGGAAAGATTGTCTCGGCCATTCGACAGAAACCTCTCGGTTTTGCTGCTGCAGTTCAACTGCAAGTCTGGACCCTTTTGGGCTGTTCCTTCAGTTTCGTGCCTTTCAAGTTTCTTTGTTGCTGTGCCTGCTGTCTGCTGTTCCTTAAAACTGGTGTTTTCTTGTTGTTGCTTTAACTTGCCTTTCAATCCTTCTGTGCCTCAACATTCTTTTCAGGTCTCTTTTTTGGTGCTTCTAATTGTTCAAGGTCGCTTCTGCCTCAAATTGGCCTTTCATCGTTTCTGCTGCTGTGCTCAAACTCAGTCTTGCCAAGATCGTTTCTGCTTCTTTGCTTAAAATTGTTCTGCAAGGTTGTTCTGCTGCCATGCTCAAATTGCCTTTCAAGTCTCTTCGCTGTTTGCTGTGCAAATTGGTGCCTTTCAGGGGTTCCTTGCAATTTTTTTCGTATGAGGTTTGGATTTCTCCAGTTTGAGGGTTTAGGATGGAGCCTTCAGCACGCAATTTTCTTTCTTTTGGGTTCTTGGGGGTTTCAGGTTGGTTGTGTGTGAGATTTGGAGGAGGATGGGAGGCTTGGCCTCGAGCTTAGGCATAGGCCTTGGGGCTTCGGGCTTGGGGCTCAGAGCTTAAGGGGCTGTTTCAGCCACCCGGAGCAAGTTCCAGCCCAGAGTTTGTTCCATTTAGGGTTTGTTCCCGCCAGCAGTTCGTTCCAGGCATGGGTGTATCACTTTCGAGGTGGTGCACAACCAGCAAACTGCAACTGTCTTCCAAAAGCCCGTCCATTCCGAACAAGAGAAATCTTCCAGGCGTCAACGGCAGCAAGTCGGACCAGGCAGCCGTTGAAGGCGGTCAGAGGAGGCTAGGTTCTTGCACGTGGTGCAGGAAACGTTGCAGGCCTGGTCCAATCCACGTAGAGCCGCTGGTAAGGATGGAAGCAAGGAGCCGGGGAAAGCGCCGTGTCATGTCAATCTCTGGACCATTGAGTTTTGGGGAATTATTGTAAGCTTCAAGACCAAACGCCTGAAACAGCTGGAAGCAAACACGGCTTTGATCTTAGCCAAGGCGCGGGAGAACTCGGACTTCCACCACCACTGCGGACTGGGGTCCCACATAATGTGAGCTTTGGGGAAAGGAATTGCCACTGCTTCCTGGTGCGTGCACTTTGCGTTTCCGCCGATCTGCCTTCTAGCCACATTGGCCACCTTGTTGCATTTGTATGCCAGTGGGGTAGATGCCAAGGATGTTGGCATTTCAAATCTAAGCCACAGGGCGCAAGGCACAAGGTTGGTTCCCCTTCCGGCCTTCATCAATGCCAACAACTGGGACCCCTTTCACAAGGCCCGCTGTGAGTGGTCTGAACGTGGCTTCCGCGTGGGTGCAGGGTTTCTCGTAAAGATCACATGGCGAAGCTTAAGAGTCTATAGACGGATACTGACCTACGGCAGGCTGACGAAGGCCAGCCGGATTGGCGGACTGGTGTCGCTAGCAGTTTAACGCTGGACAATGGACGAAGTGCGGCTAGTCTTGCTTGTGGTCATGTTACCTTTGCCAGCACGTGCTCCTGCAATCGGCCCGCTTGGTGGATCGTGTTTTCTGGCGTTCTACTTTGTCTTATGCTGCTGCAGCCAATGCTGCTGGTCGGTGTGACCCATCAAGCTCCAGTCGTCTTCTCCTCCCATGTTGTATGGCGCTGCCGGCCGGCTTTGCTGGCCCTGCGATGTCTTATCCGCTGCCCTGTATCTGATCAGTGCACATGTGCCGTATCAACACAGACAGCACGGCATCATCAGGTATAGGCTGGCTTACGATCCTAAAGGCCTCCAAGAACATGGGTGAACCATTTTAAGCCCAGCCCCTTGGACAGCAAGCTGCGCGCTGTCAAGGCTGTCATCCATCCCACTTTTCCTTGTTTGTGGGAGGTACCGGTCGTAGGGCCGCCAGGCTTCCAAGCAGTTGATTGACTTCCCATTTCGAAGGGTGCTCCCAGATCTGCAACTGGCGGGCACGTACTTTGGCTTCCTGGACATACGATCCCTATCAGACCAATCAACAAGCCAGATGGCAATTTGTGCGGTCTCTTCGGTGAGAGCAGTCCCATGATCCTCTGTGTTGGCATCGAGGCTCGTGCTGGGAAGGGCATCGCGATCATCCCCATCAAATCAAACCAGCAGGCAATTTCCTGCGGTCTCTTCGGTGAGAGCTGTCCCATGATCCTCTGCGTTGGCTGGCATCGAGGCTCGTGCTGGGGTGGGCAGCGAACGAGTGAGCTGGTGTGGCTCTGTCTGTAGCAGATACCTTTTGACGGGTTTCAGTCAAACTCTTCTCTTTGCTCCCAGCTGTGGCAACGCACTTTGCATGTGCACTGCTTGCGGCTTGCAGAACGCCCACTTGAGGTTCTTCCACGCAAGGCGGGACGCGCAGGTCTGCGAGCTGTGCCAGCCGGTGCTCGCGCTCGCCAGTTCCTTGCACGTTCCCTGGCCTGGCCCACGAAGCTCCATGCAATGTTTCTTCACCTCCCCTGTTGTACATGGTCGGCGCGTGAGGACTAGAGGCATCTTGTCTTGTGCCTGGGGTCCACGGACGTCCGGGAGCGCTCCCTGACTGCACTGATGCAGCTCCTCCAGGCACGTGAGTTTCGCTAGCTGGCAGACTTGGGCGGGACTGCAGGACACCTGAACAGGATAGTTCTGAAGGACACAAGGACAGTTGACCAGAAGAACGCTTGGACGGGACTGCAGGACACCTGAAAGGATAGTTCTGACGGACGCCTGAAGGACAGTTGACCGGAAGAACGCTCGCGCGCTCTTGAAGGGAGCCGCGTGAGACATTTGCCATGATGGCGAGACGCTTCGCCTGACAAGCCTCTCAACAGAAAGGGGCTCCATCATTCTCTCTAAACATGGTGACCGTGATGTCACAAGGAAAGCGGCCGTTATGCAGACTTCAGGGATCCGGCAAGCCGCTGCTATGAAGAGCATGTGATCGAAGCTACTGCTGTCCCAATTTCGGAGCTTGAAGCGGGCACGTAGGGTCGAGGCATGTCGAGGGCAGGGAACATCATTGCACTGCCATGCTATACCATGTGCTAGATTTTTACTCATCATTCACTCATGCGCTCTCACCTCACTCCCACCCCCGACTCTCCGCCTCTCCATGCTCGTTCGCTAACCTCACTCCGCTCGCATCACCTCGCTCGTTCACCTCGAGTGCTTGTTGGCGTATTCATTCCCTTCCCGCAGATTCCTCAAATTCCTCATGCACACAGCCGTTCCTCTCATTGACGGGTGGAGAAATGCCACATGACCTGTCGTGAACAGGCTCAAGCACGTGCATGCTGACGTTGTTGCGCTTGGCCCTGGTCTGTTCATATGATTTGTTGTATTGTCGGGAACATGGAACATGCGCGGTTATCCGGCTTTCAGCCGAATGTTGCACAGGAGCCATTCATGTGAAAAGATCAACTTGGATTTGTTATGCATAGGAGCAGTAACTAGCATCATCGCAGAATGTTTCGTTGTGGCGTGCTCCTGCAGCTCGCCCTTTACTCCGTGGCGGAGGAGCTCGGGACGGAGACATGTGCCCCTGGAACTCGACGACACCCAAGCTTTCCTCCTTTCGATCTCAGCCACGGCGAGACGGCCGCATGGTTCAAGAAGAACCTGCCTGCGCTGCCACCTCCGCCGACGATGACTGCCGAGGAAAAGATGTACGCACGATGGTCTGCTGCTGAGTACATCTCTGCCCGCAGGGCGGGTAAAGTGACCTGCGAGGAGTATGCTGCTGCTCTGACTAAAAGAGCGCGCCACTACAAAAGCATGAACCAGTTCATGAGTCCAGGACGCACTTCAGCATTCGTGTTTTGGGGTCGCTCGCTTGTCATGACGCGCGCGATTGCGTGCTACAAGAACATCCCCCGCTGTCCATTCTCAAGCCTTGTTCTGTCCTTTCAATCCCCGAAGCCTGCAGGAACTGGGACAATGATCCTGATTGGCCCGAGCGTGTGCTGGCTGCTGCAAGAAAGATGGATGCCAAAGCAAAGGCCGAAGGCATCACGTCCATCGCTCCACTTTATGGCTTGCCCATCCCTATGAAAGGCACCATGGCCACGAAGGATTTCATCTCCTCCGCAGGTGTGGGGATTCTACATGACTTTCGAGCCAAGGATGATGCGGAGTTCATCAAGATCGTGATTGATAAGAATGGCCTTGTCTTCGGCAAGACCAACGTGCCAGAATTCGCAGCTTCTCTTGTGTCGTGCAACTACGCGGATGGCTGTACGTTGAATCCTCACGATCGCACGTTGACCAGTGGCGGGTCGAGCGGTGGCGCAGGCTCGGCGGTTGGAGCTTACTTGTCACCTGTCGCTGTTACCGAAGACACTGGTGGGTCCACCCGCGCGCCTGCGTTCTCCAACGGAAATTTCGGTTACGACCCGACGCGTGGGCATTTTCCAAATGCTGGGAATCCAGGAATGGCCTTGATCTTGGACCAGCTGGGCCTCAACGCCAGGAGCCGCGGCTTCTGAACATGGCAGGTAGAAGACTATGTGACTATGCATTGTTTTTTTTTTCATCTTGGTTCTGACAATCTCGTGTTGTAGGATTCTTGGGGCGTTTCGTGCTTGAAAACTCACCCTGCTAGGAGTATCGAGGACATCCTGGCCATTGATTCGGCTGTAAGCGACTATGACCCTTCCACTGTTAAGGCCAAGGAGGTCGGCAAGCTTCGGATTGGTGTTCCCCGGTACCCGTTTGTGGAGTCCTACATCCCAGCAGGGGGGGATAATCCTTTTGGCATCGAGGCACGCGGACTCGGATGAGGTTTGCCGGGTTTCGAAGTTGCCCGCTGGGCGAATGCAAGGCTTTTCTACCCCTTACAGCCCTCACCCATTCCCCGGACCCGTGAAAAAAAAATGGCTTGCGGCCTTGCGCGCACACTTCGGTAGTGAAGTTCCCCGAAGCAGGCCCCGATGGCCTACATGCCCTCCAAGCCCATCATGGCCAAGTACGAGGCAGCCAAGGAAGCGCTGCGCAAGGCGGGTGCCACCCTGGTGGCCAAGGAGTGGCCCTCGGAAGAAGGTGGGGGGGGGGGGCCGCTTTTGGAGGGTGCTTGCGAAGGGGTGCGCTTTTTTGGGGGGATGTAGGCACCTCTACTCATTCTACTCCTCAAGAGCTTGCCCCTCTTTGAATCTCGCATCCTATGCAAGCAACGTTTGAGAGAGCCCAAGGTCAGAATGTGCTGGCCAGGGCGTTCTTTCAGATGAAGATGGGGAAGGAAGCGGCAGCCCTCAGCGTTTTACAGTATACTTCTTGAGTTCTCAGTGTGTGGGCTTCGCAGGTGCAGGATTCCGGGTTGATCCTGCGTCGCTGGTTGGGGATTGGGCTCTGGCACCAATGTCAACTCTGAGGCTTCTCATCTGTGGGCGCTTGTAGAGCAGGCAGCGCCCTTTGAGACCCGAAGAGGGAAGCACCAGAAAGCATTGCAGGCCCTTCACACGCATGCCGCATGGCCCTTCACGCGCATGCCCCCGCACGCGCATGCCTGGTGCCCTCTTTTGCGAGAAGCGTTGTGCACCCGTGACCCCCGTGCCGCGTCGCGCGAAGAACCTCGCAGTTGAGCCCCAGCTGCCGCAAAAAGCTCGAGGTGCCAAGAGCAAGGTTGCACGACGCTGCAACCCGCTTTGGGGGGGGGGAACCAACCCAATACAGACTTATACGTACACAGAAGTACGGCTACCGCCAGTGCGACCCCAGACAGGAGGGCGGGCGGCAGCCGAGAGGGTGGGGGTTAGGGGGGGTTAGGGGGGGGCTCGGGGCAGGTCGCTGCAGCGGCGGGGGGGTTGGGGGGTTGGGGGAGGGCCGAAACAGGGGGGGGGGGGGGGGGGGGGGGGGGCAGCAGATGAAGCAGTAAAGGCATGGGGTGCGGGCCAGGCGGTTCTGAGGGGTAATGGGTCTTCACTGACGCCGCCCCCGGCTGGGGTCGGCGGATATATATAGAGACATGATAAGATACATATACGAACATCTAATCTACTCATGCCTTCAATTTTGGCCACCTTGTGCAAAGCATGCTCTGCAGACGTCTCAGCCTAACTGGCGGGGGAAAGTCGCGGGTAGCCAAGGCCGGGCCTAAGGGATGTTCCTTCTACTTGGAGGTTCATGGTACTTTTTAGCCAATGATAGCTGTACTGAGGACCACTTCAGGGGCTTAGAAGTGGGCCATGAGTACAGTTCTAGTTGGTTGATAAGTGCCATGAACCTCCAAGTAAGGTGGTCAGCCCGCACTTCCACGTCTTCTCCACGTACATGGGCCAGGCGCCTCCGTGGTGTGTTTTTCGGGGGGGCTCCCTAAACCATAAACCCTAGACCCTAAGCCCTAAGCCCTAAGCCCTAAACCCTAAACCCTAAACCCTAAACCCTAAATTGCTAAACCAAAAACCCCAAAAGTCTAAACATGCTCTGGGGACCCTTTAAATTGGCGGCTTGTTCACGGGAAGGGTGGGGAAGCTTTCGTCGAGGGGCTGCTGGTGTCGGCACATGCCCCCATGACCAGAAACCAGAATCCTACTATTTGCTTAATTTGCTTAAGAACCCCACAAGAACAAAAGATAATAATCCCTATGTTTCCCTTCATAAGGAAGAATATTTATATTTTTTGGGGTTCTTAAGCAATTCGTAGAGTCTCGGGACGTCAGCTCGCCTCAGTTCCCGGGAACTCGGAACGCATCGGAACTCTCGGGGGGGGGGGGGGGGCAGCCCTGTGCACTAGCAGCTGAGGTGCGAAGGTCCAGCTTTGTCGTGCTCATAAGAATATCTCCCCCCAAAGAAAACACAAATAAATACATAATAAATAAATAAAAGAAGTATATAGATATATGTATATATAGGAAATTTGTTGCAAATGCTCATGTCCTCTTTGGGGCCCTTGTTTAGTAGGCGCCTCTACCCAGGTGGCGCAGTGGATGTATGACTACCTTGGAGTGAATGCCACGATTGCCGATGTCTTCGCGGATGCACAGAGTGCGGGTGCTGGCCACTCCCCCAGAGGTGTCCGGGCAAGCACTTGAGACTTAGGCTCTGGAACTTCGGGATTGTGGAGTTTTGTGGCCGTGCCCATTACCCTCAGATAGACCCGGAAAGAGGAACCTCGAAACGACGCCAATAGCCTTAAGTCGTTTCTTAAGCAACCCACAGTCACCGAACCTCAGACAATTCCCACCCAAACCCTTTTCTTTCAGCGCGATGACCCCTATAGCATCCTATAGCAGCCCTCAGGCTTCATGGCGCTGTCGAGTGTCGCAAGCGAGGCGAAGCTGAACTTCATCCTGCAGGCACCTTGGGGACATGCAGGGCAAAGCACGTGTATGTGGGTACGCAAAGGGACCCCGAATATCGACCCCCAAAAAGTAGGATCCCCTTGTAATGAGGACCCCCGGTATCGCAAACTCCCATATCTACCCTTGGGAGATTATTTTGACGGGTAGCGGAGGGCCTGTGAGCTTCAAGCAATGTGTGGCGCACTGGGACTCGAAGCCCGATTCCCTCGCTCTCAAAGCACAAGTTGTGCCTTAGTGAGCTGATTTTTGTTACCTTTACTCCTTGAAAGTATGCTTCTCGCAGCAGGCGTGTCGCAGGAAGTCGGAGAGTGATTGACATTTTCGATAGTGAGAGCATCAAGAGCTCAGAGCCCGTTTTTGGTCCAGGAATTGCGGGCTGCTGGGGCGGATGCCTGGAACCGGTCGCTCGGCCACTACCGATGGTGCTCGTTCAGTTGAGGTTCTGAGAACTTCTGTCAGCCGCCCCAAAGGTCCCAAATCCCACCTTCCCAGGCTCTTCGACGAGGAAAATCTGGACGTCATCTTGATTCCCGGTTATCTGCACACGCCCACCTACGAATGCATGGCCAGTTCCACTTGCGAGCACCAGGTGGCTTTCAGGGTTTAAGAGTGAAGAGGCCACCTGAATTTGTGGGAGCTGACAGGCGCCGCTGAGCTTTGTAGAGGAATAGCTGATTTCTTCTATTTATTTTTCCCATTGTCCCACACGTTGTTGGGCTGGAAGACCCGTGAGCTTGTGCAACGTTCCTTGCTGCGTGCTAATGCCAGTCGCTGCCCGAAGGTGAAGAACCTGACCAGTGGCGAGGTCGTGTCGCGTGCGGAGTTTACCTCTGTTCAGTCGCTCTTCATGCACACCTTTTCCATGAAGCACATCCCGCTGCCCAAGATGATGGCGCCAGAGGGCACACAAAGAACTCGAAAAGCCCCAAAATTCTTCTGCAAATTCACAGAGCACCGAGCATTGAAGCTTCTATAGAAGCCCTCAAAACGCTCAGCCAACAAAACAAGCACCCTCAGGCACTTTCCTCAAGAGCTGCGCACTTTCCCTCCACAAGTCTCCCCTCAAAAGAGGTGCCCGTGGGCCTCGACCCGCAGGGCAGGCCCGTGGGGCTGCAGCTCCTGGGTCGTGCCGGCCCCCCAGGCCTGAGGAGAAAATTGGTTAGCTCAGGGTCTTTTTTGTTTATTATTAATTGTTATTATTATTCGTATTCTTATTGTTATTGTTATTCTTATTAGTTTTTAAATGGGAGGCCCGCAGCAGTTGATTTACGGTATATCCAAGAATCGCTGCGATGCAGCGCCGGAAGCTTTGCACATGCGGTATACGGGCCCCTGTTGCAAACATGTACTGTCCTCCTGGGCACGGTAACAGTACTCATTGCATCACCCGGCACGCGCATCCGCGGTATTTGGGGGCGCTGTAAAGGAAGCAGGGTTGAAGTGCCAGGCTCCCGAGGCCTCGGCTACTCCTACGACACTGAGCTGCTTAAGGCTTGGAGTGTGAGTGCAGCCCATTAGGTTGAAAACTGTGCATGTCTGCGCACTTGCTCAGAAGGGTGAAGGCCTGATGTATATGTTTCAGGCGAGGCGTGATTTTGACGCAGGGGTCGTCGTTGGTATTTACTCAAGCAGGCAGCAAGTATCGGTCTTCGCAGGTCCGTGGATATCGTTATTTTCAGTTTTCATAAAATGAGCCCATGGAAGAACAGATTCTGATTCAGATGCTAATGGCCTGACACCACGGTGTCCAACTGGACCGATGATGGCTCTTCTTTTCATGCTGTTGCCGGTAGTATGAAACACTATGCGTGTGCGTGTCGACAATGGCAACGTACTGAACTCTTTTGGATAAGTTTCCAGGCTACTCGCGATCGAAAAGCCTTTCACAAAGATTTCTTTCCATCTGTTTCCTTCTGATCGGAAACGCCATAAAAGGCCTATGGACCTCGCTGCCGTGCAGAATAAAGTCCTGCAACGCAGTCCATACGGATCGAAAACCCGCCGCTGGGCTGCGGGAGATGTGTGCTTGCACTGCACCTCGAAAGTGGATTCTTTCTTGTTGTCGCTCGTTGTCGCCTGTTTGCGCCCTTTTCATGTGTCGTTGGGTTTGGGACGAGTCCTCTTGGGCAAAATTCCTGATCTTTCCCAGCTGGTTGAAGCACCCCCATGTTGGTCACCTTGTCAGGTTGTGGACTTGCCATTCCTCAAGACAGCCCAGGCCATCGCAGGGCTGAGACCTGAAGATGATATCCTTCAACCAATGGAGAGAAATTTGGTGCTACGCCCGAATCATGTTTTGTCTGACAGGCTGCTGTGGCCGCCATGGTTGCAGCCGACCCTTCCCTGGCACGGGTGGAGCCTTCCCTGGTGCGGGGCAAGGACAACCTTTTCGAGTGAAGAGCCCTCTTCTGGGCTTTGCCCATCGGGTTTTGATCGATTCTTTCGGGGAGGGCCCCGCGAGGTTTCTGAGCGGAGCGTTGGCCCCAGTTTCCACGCGGCCTTCCGCTGCCTTCTGCTGCAGCCTTCGGCTCCGACAGCATTGGTGCGATTGCCGGTGAAAAAGGCACCAAATCATGTTCCAACAGTATTTTGTTCCAGGAATTCCGAACTCATTGTAGTATTAAACAATCTCGGCCCTTTCAGGATGTGGTTTAAGCGGCATCAGTGTCAGGCGTGGCATCTGCATGGGGATTCGTTTACATGTACGTGATCGCATACAGGGACATGCTGATTTGGCCTATTCCGATCGTTTCGGATGGGTGTCCCAGTACCAGTAGCACCCGGGCAAGTGGGTCAGACGCGAACGTGCTTCTTGAGCCTTTGGGACGCAAGTTTGACCGAACTTCCTTGGACAGCGGTTTCCCAAGAACCGCAAGAACTCCCCATCTAGCCTGACCCCTGCTTCAGCCGCTTAAGCCACTTAAGCCTGTGTGGAAGTTGGGCAAAGTTCTCAAAGCCAGAGACCTTTTGAGCAGAAGGCCCCTTTGGGTTGTCGACATCTGTAGCCATGTCTGCGGTGTCTGCAGTGCATGTGGTGACCGTGGAGACATGGATCCCCCACGACACCGGAGAACCTCGGACTGCAAACAACAGTGTGAGTGGACGGTCTAGGGCTTGCGCAATCCGCAGAAGATCGTTAGACTTCGGAAAGTTCTTATTAAGTACGTGTCGCTCTCCGTGCTGAGAGCAATCGTACTCAAAGTAGGCCGGTGCTGTGCCAGTGACACAGCCGACTGAACTCAACCTTGTGAGGCTGAGCGCCTTGGCTGTAACGTTCCAGCTCGTGACGTGCCAACTACGTGCCAATTACGTGCATGATTCGTAGCTCGAAGTTCCGTGTCAAGGTCAATATTAGCAGAAGCAAGTGGAAACACACGCGCCTGCTGCAGGAAATCAAAGCTGTGCGTTGGCCGTGGCGCGCGGTCTTCCACTTCTTGGTCAGGCCTTCATCTCAGAAAGCCTCTTTGCTTCCAAGTCCGATATGTACACGAAAGCCATCGAGGCTCCATATCAAGGGTGGGGGGGGGATGGTTTTCGTATCTTTTTTTGTAGGCATGGGTAGACTTCAGTGTAGACATTTGCAGAGGCCTCCTTTGGTTCCCATTATTTATGTGCTCCCAAGCTGAAAGTCCAGATTTTTTTTGGGAGCGCTGAGAGCTGCCCTGCGAGGCTTGGCACATCTGCACCGAAACCCTGGGTGGTGCTTTCTGGGAGTTTCGGCTGAGTGGCGAGGATTGGCCGGAGCTCTGGGATCGAGTGCATCGAGAGCTTGTGTTTGCAAAGGGCCAGGACCTGCACTTTTTCATGTGCGCCCCGAGCCCAGCAGAGCATCCGAATTTGGAACCCGCGATCCCTCCAAGTCCTGCCTGTGCCAATGTGTCAGCATTGCTTAAAGAAGCCGTGCCCATAACCCTGGACCACGGTCTGCGGCTACATGGAAAGCTTCTGGAGATTCGCAGTGCGCCGCGGACTGCGCACTACGCCTTGGGCGGCATCGATGCTGATGTCCTCGACCGCCTGCTTGCATCTGTGAAGACACGCGCGGTGGCGCACGAGCCTTCCGGGGACACGCCGAGGCTCCGTGCGGCGGTCTGCATCGCGGGCCTGGCCCGCAGCTTCCACCTGCCCCGCGTCTTCGAGTCTTTGGCCATGGCAACCCGGAGCCTGAAAGCCGAAACGCAGCTCTTCTACGTGCTTGACTTGCAAGGCCGTCCCTATGAGGAGTTCAACGACGCCTTCGCGGCCTTACCCCCAGACGGCATGGTGCTCTACGACGAGAGCCGGGGTACGGGACTGAGGCTGCCTCAGTGTCAGTGGGCGACGCCCGGCCATGTTCACAAGCTCTTCGAGAAGCTCCGCAGCTGCTTTCACCTCATCACAGCGGCCGAGCAAGAGCAGCACGAACGCTTCGATTGGATCGTGCGGCTGCGACCAGACTTCGAGTGGTTGGCGCCCATCGGGAACCTCAGAGAGTTTGACGCCGAGCAGCTGCACATCGTGCGACACTGGAGCTCACCGTGGAAGTTCTACGACACCACAGACTTCTTCGCCTTGGTGCCACGACCGCACCTGTGGGCGTACTTTGGCATCGGCTGCCCATCGCAGCGGTCCCTCCTTGCCGCCAAGATGGAGAACCCCTGCTTCGGCCTCCTCTGCAATGCCACAAGTTGCGTGGCACAGGCTGAGTGCGTGCTTCAGGTGCGCCTCCAGGAGCGGAATCTTCCTGTCGAGTCCTTTCCGCCGGTGATGCGCATGGCGCACGAGCCGCGTTGCCATCCGGGCGATCGGAAGTGCCTTGCGGGTTGGCGGAACTTGGCACGCTGGCCCTTCGAGACGTTCTAGACTCTCGTCTTCCTCAACCTGCGGGGTGTGTGAGAAGGGGATCATGTCCCTCTGGAGACTCTTGGGCACGAACGTGGGAGAGCAGGGCTAGCGAGGTCCTTTGCATCCATAGTATGGCGGTGAAACTGCATAAGTGGAAGCGGGGCTCAGCACTTCAGTGCTAGTTGAATGGCTCTTCAGGGCTTCTGGAGTGAGAGTGGATTTGTACTCCAAAACTGATCTGAGGTAACATGCAGTGACATGTGTGAACGTAAGATTCTTCTAGCGTCTGCAGTGGCCCGCAGCCGAAGATCCCACAGTGTCCAACTTGACCCGTCACGCTGCGAAAGTAACAAATCCAGACCTACTTTAGCGCTTACCCGAAAGCCCCATATAAGCTTTGCATTCCGGATGATTCTGGTCCGGCTGGGGCTGGCGGCGGTGCCACTGGCTCATAGCCACTTGCGCTGGTGTAGCGAGGGCCACCAGGCCTGCCACGCCCAAGCACAGGACAAGAGGAACGGATGCTCTCGTTTTGCAATGTCTGTCATGCAATAGGTGCTGCCGAGACAGTTAGAGCTACCACGGGATCGGGCATGCCATGACGTGCCGTGGCCTTGTCAGGTGGCAGACCTCTGCTGTGGCCCGGAATGCAAGGACTGTGGGGACTGCAGCGGCGGATCAAGCAGTGGATGCTGCGAGGCCTTTCTGCGAGGCTTGGGCCGGCGCTGCCACTCGGCCTGGGACGTCTTCTGCCTCGTCCCAGCGCCGCTCACACTGCCTTCAACTAAACCATCTACTAGTAGAGTCTTCTGCCCCTCCAACGGCCTTGTTTGGGACTCTGGGACTCCTCTATATTCCGTTTAAAACAAAAACTCCCTTCAAGGGCTTCTTGTTTCACGCCCGAGGCATCCGCCACGACGCCGAGGGAACGAGAGCTGCGCGGCAGCGGTGGCTGGGAGCCTCCCACTTCTCTCCAAGGCCTTCCTGATCAGGGGGAGGCCTTCCGAGCCTTCTGGGCCCTCTCAGGGGCCTTCAAGCTACTCTTTTTACACCAAGGCACTCCGTGCATGGCAAGTATGTACGGAGGCCCTGGGCTTAGCGTTTTGGGAGTTCCAGCTCAGTGACGCGGACTGGCCGGGATTAAGGCGCCGGCCGGAAATTCGGAAGCGTGTGTTTGCCGGGGATCGTCTGCACGTCTTTCTTTGTGCCCCGAGCCCCTGGCCATACACGAAGCACTTCCGAGCAAGCTTCGCCTGTCAAACGGTCGAGTCTGTGTTGAAGGAGGCCCTGCCCTTAATGCTCGACTACACAGCGCAGCTGCATGGCGCCATCCTCGACCAAGCACCACCTCAAGGGACTGCCAGCTATGTGCTCGGAGGCTGGGATAGACGGAAAGAGGTGCTTCAGCTGCTGTCTTCCTTGAAGACACGCGCGGTGGCGCACGAGCCTTCCGGGGACACGCCGAGGCTCCGTGCGGCAGTCTGCATCGCGGGCCTGGCTCGCAGCTTCCACCTGCCCCGCGTCTTCGAGTCTTTGGCCATGGCAACCCAGAGCCTGAAAGCCGAAACGCAGCTCTTCTACGTGCTTGACTTGCAAGGCCGTCCCTATGAGGAGTTCAGCGACGCCTTCGCGGCATTGCCCCCAGACGGCATGGTGCTCTACGACGAGAGCCGGGGTACGGGACTGAGGCTGCCTCAGTGTCAGTGGGCGACGCCCGGCCATGTCCACAAGATGTTCGAGAAACTGCACAGCTGCTTTCACCTCATCACAGCGGCCGAGCAAGCACAGCACAAGCGCTTCGATTGGATCGTGCGGCTGCGACCAGACTTCGAGTGGTTGGCGCCCATCGGGAACCTCAGAGAGTTTGACGCCAAGAAGCTGCACATCGTGTTGCACTGGATCCTCCCAGACAAGTTCTACGACACCACAGACTTCTTTGCGCTTGTCCCGCGCCGGCAGTTTCGGGCCTACTTCGAGGTGGGCTGCCCGTCGCGCAGGCAGGTGCGTCTTGCGGCGTTTCAGGACCTGTGCTATGGCCTCATCTGCAACACCACGGACTGCACGGTGCAGGCCGAGTGTGCATTGCAGCTGCGTCTCAAAGCGCTCAAGGTGCCTGTGTCGCCGTTCCCACCCATCACGAACATCGTGCGCGAAGACAGGTGCCACCCTGGGGACCTGAAGTGTCTGCATGGCTGGAACCCAAGGGAGTTGGAAAGGTACCCAGAGCGCTGCTTCTTATGCATGCTGATGGAATGAATGGAGTGAAAAAAGCGCCCAACTCTTCTATCATGTTTCATCATGTTGTCCAGTTTGCACAGCCATGGCTCAGTCAGTGAAAACAGCATGTGACCATGGCAGACTCGGCATATTTCTTGGTGTCCCTCTTGGCCCAAAAGCTGTAAAAAAGCCCTGGGGTTGGGCAAGGGTGGCCAAGATGGGTTACGGCGCCGGACGAGGGCGCGGGAGCTTTTCTGATTCTCCTTTCCGTCGTGTTCGTAAAAAGCGCTTCAAGGCTCGCTAGGCCCCGCTAGGCCTTTGACAGTGTGACAGGAAGTCCTGGGGCCGTGGCTTTCGGAGCTTACGTGATGACTGGGGCCGCGGAGGCACAGGGACCATGGTTTTCCGTGTGCTCGCAACCACAAAAACCAGCCAGGTTCGATCATGTTATGTCCGCAGCTGACTCTGAACCTTTCGCCCGGGCTCGCGGCGTCACTTTGCCTTTTGACAGGCAAATCGGCCTGGAATGGCCGTGCCAGCTACAAGGGCAAAGGCAAGGGCAAGGCGGCAAGGGATGGCTCTGCATAAGACCCCTTTACGACCATTGCCTAATGCTGTGAAGAGCTGTTATTAGAATGTCACGTGTCAGTGCTGAACCATCGCAGAAATGCTGATGATTATTCTGACCTAGAGGGCTCATGGCTGCGCGGTAGATAGCGGTACCGAAGGAAGAGGCAGTTCGCAGAATATTCCTTGGACACCGGGCACTTCTTCATTCATTGGGTTAGCTTGCAAGTTTTTTTACCTGTCTCTTGTCATCCCCGAAGGCCTACGGAGGCCGTGGGGGCGGCGTGTGGCGATCGATTGTGAAGCGGCCGTATGGAAAGGCCCTCATTGGTGTGTGAGAGTTTTCGGGTGTAGGAGTTTGTTTTCCTTCGGCTTCCAGGTCCTGATTCTTCTTGTGGTTCAGGTTACTGGACATACAGGCTTGAAATTGACTTGAGGCTTCGAGGACTAGAGTGTTGAGAGTTTGTGGAAAATTTTGGTGGCTGCAAGGTACGAGTTTTGACATGTTTTCCGATGTCACAATGTCTGCAGATGGGCTATCCTGTCTACGAGTCTGCAGTCTCTTGTTCTGGTTGTGACCTTGTTGTGGCTTGGTGACAGGCGGCCGTGAGTGGGGACAGAGAGAGGGCACTGACAGAACAATTGCAGAGTCTCTCCAAGTATGTCACACAGATCATGCGCGATCCATTGAAACGGGGCTTGTTTTTTGGAAACTTACACGCGCGCACACACCCACACACGCACCCCCACCCACCCACCCACCCACGCACGCACGCACGCATGCACGCACACACACACACACACACACCCACCGTAGACCTGTTCTGTTAATAAACAGTTCACCACACCCTAAGTCCTAAGCCCTGCAGCCTACACCCTAATGCAGCTTGTGGTCACTGCCAGTTTTGGCACAAGCCCCACAAGACCATGCCACCTCGATCCAACCACCAGTCCTGCTTGTGCGCAAGGCCTATGGCCGAGGAAAAGGCAGACTGCTACGAATGCTGTGCTCTCGTATCTGTGTGTCGCAGAATCTGTTGGATGGTCTTACATATCAGATCCAGTCTGCAAAAAGAGGTGCTTGGCGATTTCTGGGTTTGCACTTGAATGCCCGAAAACTCCCCGCATGTGACGGGTGCAAGGCCTAGAAGGAGCCTTGGGGAAGTCTTCCGCGCTTTGGTCATCAAACGCTGCCCTGACCCCGAGCCCCCCATGGGAAGGCCAGAAAGGCGGCTACGGCTACGGCAGCGGCTACGGCCGGGGTCGTTACGGCTACGGCCGCGGACGTCGGGGGCCCCAGAATGTCGATCCGAAGCTTTCAACCCTTGGGCCTCAACCCTGAACCACTTTCTTGTGTTGGAGTTCATGCTTTCTACGGGTGCGATTGGTGCCAATGGACCCTTGCGATCGGAGGAATTTCGTTGGTGAGCACTTCGGTTCCCGTAGATTTGCTTTTGGGGCTGAGTAGGGGTTTAGTAGGGTATGGAACCATACCGTACCGTTTTGTAGGGTTTGGTAGGGCTTTGGGAAGGGATCCTGGCTTTCCACACTCTGAGTCGCCCCAAATCCACTTCAAGGCTCAGGGAGCCTTGGGTAAGCGGGTGGACAGCACTTGTAACGTCTACATTCCAAGCCCGCAAAATCTCAAGCCCTAAAAGGCCCCAAGCCCCCCGGCAGCCCCTAAGCCCCCTGAGCCCCTAAGCAAAAGCAAGAAAAACCCTAAACCCTAAACCCTAAACCCTAAACCCTAAACCCTCAACCCTAAACCCCAAACCCTAAACCCTAAACCCTAAACCCTAAACCCTAAACCCCCACTCAACCCTCAGCCCGCCGGTCCGTGAAAGCTCCGTTGGCTGAGGATACGGCCGGGGAAGCTACGGTCGCGGCAAAGGTGCCCTGCTTGGGCTTCTAGGGGCGTTCGGACATGAGACTCTTTGAGGATTTTCAGGTCTTTTGTGAGGGATTTCTGCGGATTCTTGGGGGATTTTGAGGGTTTTGAGAGTTTTAAGGGTCTTAGTGGTTCAGGGCTTTGGGCTGGAGGGCTAGTGCATGAGCCTTGGTCCACTTGCCACTTTGCAGGCCGAGGATACAAAGGAGGCAGCGATGCCAGCGGGTGCTTGCTGCGTGGGTACGTTCCTGGCTGTAGAGGGGCTGAGGCTGAAGTTTCAAGATGTCAAGCCAGCTGGAGATCGAAAATGTACGCTTCTGTGTCTGACAGGCCGAAAAGGCAAAGGCAAGGGAAAGGGCAAGGGAAAGAGGAACCAGGCGCGCCTAAGATAGACGATGTGAGGCAGCTTGGGGCCTTTGGGATTTTCAGAGGTTTTAGGATACTTGAGGCCATTTACCGGCTTACGACAAAAAAGACGGTTGGGATGCTTGCGTTCGAGTGAGTTGGCTGTGTTGCACACCCGGCAGAAGATTCAACCCTGGCACCTGTGTCCACGCGCGCAGGTAACAAAAGAGATGCTAGACAGACAGTTGGAGGAGTACATGGGGCCGGACGCGATGAAGGCGAGAGACCTTTGATCAGATGAGGGACGTTTCATGTTCCGGCGCATGCGTATGCACCCCCCTGGCTCTCTGCATGTTCTCAAAGTCGGGGGGGGGCGGGGGGGAGGGAGGTTTAGGGTTTAGGGTTTAGGGTTTAGGGTTTAGGGTTTATTATAGAGTCAAAGAGGGGAGCCCTCCAGCAGCCCTCCCTCCTTTGGAGGCCATGCTGGACCTGGAGCTGGAGGCCTACTTCAAGGCGCGCCACACAGCGGAGAGGAGGTTGTGAGATGTAGGGGTTTTATAACCATTTTTTTTTGCATGGGTATTCTGACTGCCACAAGGATAAGAAAAGCCTGGAAGCTCCGAAAGTGGAGTCGGCCGTCGCCATCTCAGGGGTCTGCCCACAAAAAGCTGTCCAAAGGCCTTCTTCGGAGTGGATTTTTTTGCCTGAGGCCGGCAACCCCTGACCTCCACCGGATCAATCCTCTACTCCCTGTGCAAGCCAGAAAAAAGAGGATGCTCTGAGCGCGGCGCGCGCTTTACACGCTCGGCTTCGAGGTTCGCAATCAAGAGTCGCGTCTTCAAGGAATGCCCACCCGGCATTCTGATCTGACATAACAATCTTGTATCGTACATGGTTCTTCCTGATTTATTGTTTCTGGGGGAAGGGGTAAGGTGAGTTACCGGATACCTTTGGTAACATTTCAGGGGTCGGGAAAAGTTACAAGAAAGACCACCCCCCCGGCCTCGGTAACATTTTCAAATCGGTCAGTGTTGGTATCGGCCTTTCGCTGGTTCTATGTTTTTTTGTCTGGAAAGAGTTCCGGGCTTCTCTGGTTGATCGACTTGTGCGAAGCCCGCTTAAACACCCGAAGAAACTCCAGCAAACTAAACCTCAGAGGAGCAGGAGCGGCCTCAACAATTTTTTAAAGAAAGTTGCAGGAAGTCAACAGTTATCTTCACTACAGCTCTCTTTCCTGGCCTTTCTCTATAATCTATATCACAAATCACAAGAACAGTTTTAGTATAGCTCTTACTCTAATGGTAATTACAATCCTAGTATACACATAAAGCTACACCCCAAAAAGAGTCAGAGAATCAAAAAGTAGTCTTTGAAGCGCGCCGCCGCGCCGGACCCCCCTTTTAAGGTGCCCCTTTTTTTAAATTAAAGGTAATCTTGGAGGACACTTTTATAATAAGAAGTATATGTCTCGACACACACATATATATATGTGTGTGAGCTAGAGGTTCCCTACTCACAATCTCAGAGGGGGGCCTTCAGAGCTTCGGCCTTGGAAGCCAGTTCGAGAAGGAGGACGAATTCGAAAACCCCTGTGGCTTTCTCTTCTGCCGCAAAGAAGTTTTCTCATATTCTAACTGAACACTTGAGCAAAAAAAAATCCAAGCTTCTAAATTCGCAGCTGCAATGTCACATCCCTGGGGCGTCAGAGCCATATCTGAGTCTAGAGTAGAGTTTCGGGTGGTTCAGGGTGTTGTTCTGTTTTGTGCTTCTTTCTCTCTCGCCTTCAGCACGTCATTGCACCTCCAAACCTAAGAATCACCATGTCACATCGATCCATATATACTGTCGAACAGGATTTGAAATGTTACCAAAGTCTTTGGGTAGGTCGGCATGAGAGCTCCCAGAATCCCTTGAGAGACCCAGAAATGTTACCAGAAACATTTGGGTGGTCCTAGGCCTTAAGTCCAGGGCCATTATCGTACTATAAAATCCCATACATTGTGATATACGATCTAGATTTGTATGACCGGCTTTCTGCACATCACGCTGCCTTTTGCCGCTCCCTTCTTGGCTTGCGCTGGGGTGCGGGGCGGTCCAGTCTGTTCGCGTTCTATGGCATGGCCTTGTATTTTTCTAGGGAAGTGGATGGCTTTCAAGGGGCCCTAGCCTAAACCCAAAACCCGAAACCCTAAACCCTATAAGCCACCCCCCTCTTTTCCCCTCGCCCCTCCCCTCCCTTCCACCCCCGTCCCATCCCCCACCACACCCAAGCCATGGAGCCGCTGCATGCCTCCGAGGCGCTCGTACTGAACCTTCCTGGAACTTCTTGCTTCTCTCCTCTCCCGCTGTGTTTGTACTTGTTGTGGTACATGATGTAAGACGGAGGTGAAGCCGTGTTTTATCCATTGCTCTGTTGCTATCCTTCGGGTGAACATCGTATCGTGGAGGTCTGAGGGATTTGGGCCATATCCGCATGGGCAGAGGGCATGTAGGTTCTTCGAGAAGTTCCCCAAACCCAAGATAGGGGTCCCCAATTTCAGTTGGACCGGCTTGTCTTCCTCCTTGAAAAGCATTCGCAGGGCCCGGTATCGCCTTCGCGGTGGCGTGTGTTGGATGCGGAGCTGCACGGCGCCTTCTTCGCCATGGAGGCCCGCTGAAGTGTGAAGTTCCATGCCGTTCCCACTCATTTTTACAACTGTTTTGCGATCTTTCACGGGGCCCTGATCTGAAGTCACTAGTCTGCTCAGAGGCACGCCGACAGCAGCGGCAAGCATATGGCAGGCCTGGGATGTGCGATGATGTTTCGTAACACCCAAACGTACATAGTATCGTGACAACGAATGAACCAAGGTTACATGAATAGAAGGGAATATATGTTACATGAGAAGACGACAGAAATAGTGTATACCTTGGTATACTGTTAGTAGAAGTATCATGAGTAGTGCTCATCATGCAGCCATCTTTTGCAGCCAATACGAATCCTATCTGCCCGCATGATGGGCCATGCCGCAATGCTGTTTCAGGCACATCGCCCGTGGGGTGTGGTCGGCCATCTCAGAGGCAAGACCTGCCACGCTTTCAGCCTGTGAAGTCATACTCCCAGGTTGCCAGAGATCCTAAACCCTAAGCCCTAAACCCTAAGCCCTACACCCTAAACCCTAAGCCCTAAACCCGAAGCCCTAGACCCGAAACGCCTGCCACGTAGAGCTTGAAGCGCCTAGTCATCGGCTCCTTTCGATGCCATCTGCCAGGTGGCAATGTTCCTGGGAGCCTTGGGCTGCAGAGCCCTGCAAACGAATCTCAAAGCATCGTAAGCCTCTAAGCCCCAAAACTGCCTCCAGAGCAGTGCCACAAGTGTGGTGCTGGCGCTAAGTTGTTTTAGAAGCTCGGTAGGAACCTCAAAATCCACCCCAAAGCCCTAAACTTTCAGGCTTCACGCTCTATGGCCTGGCGAAGGTGCGATCGCGGCTGCTTGGCCCACCACAGGAGGTGGGCTTCATAGAAGGGGCAGCCGACAAAAGGCTCTGTCTGCGCCTTTGCATTTGAGTCCCTGTTTATCCGCCGCGCAGATCCTGATGTGAAGTGACCTGCATAAGTTCCCCGGGTTTCGAGGGCCTGAGCTTTCATGCGAGGCTTGTCAGGAACCGAGGAATCAGTTTTCGGACCTCTAGGGAATATACGGCCCGCATACGAAGGGTACCCTGAAACCCTGGCTGACCCACTTCCTCCCCCTGCTAGAACCTGCGCTACCTGGCGTTACCCGTGGTGCTCACGCTCGGCATCACAGGCGTCTCGCTGAACAGGCTGGGTCGTGCCCTTTGCCTTTTGCGGATGTTTTCGGTTATTCCCTTTCTGTTCCTTGTCACCCTACCCATTCTGTGTTTCTTGTCGCCTTGCATTATGTTAAGTAACATGACCTTCATAACCCCGTAAGTTTAGCCGGTTTAAAGCGGTTTAAGCGCGTCAACCTTTGTCGATTGGACTCATGAGGCCGACTCATTCGGTCCCTTCTTGTCGCCTTTTCTTGCAGTAGAAGCTGGTGACTCGGTGGCTTCTTTTGTGGGCTTGTGCAGCTCAACTCGAAACCTTGGGGAGTTTAGGGTGATGCTGGAAGGGCACTCTTGGGAACTCTTGGGTGCCAGGTCAGTGAGCGTGCGTGACAACCTTCCGCTCCTTTGGGGCAAGACCTGGATCGCGCCCCTCGGAGGAATCGGCTAAAAAAGGAGAGCATCGTGCCATGATGCTTTCGGAAACTTTCTCCACCCAACAGCTCCCCCAAAACACGCACCCAACTGCTCTGCCTTGAGGCTCTTGGTGGTGTGGGAGCTCTGGTTGTACGAGCCGGCATCTTCGGTATGCCCAGGCATCCTGGAAGTGCAGGCAAGTGAGCTCGGAGCAGCGCGCTTAGCAGCTGGAGAGGCCAAGCGACGGATCCGACCTTCTTCATAACCACGCAGGAGCTGCCTTCAATTCTGGAAAAAGGGCTGGGGGATGGTAGGGAGAGGTTCGTCGCCAACTTCCAGCTTGTGCAGACCTTCTCTCAAAAGACTCATTTGCCAGGAACAGATTGTTCTTGCTGTCTTCCTGAGCTTGGAGGCGGGGGAGAGTTTTGCAGTTTGGCGAAGAATGCCACCCAAGGAAGGAAAGCATCGAGAGCTTTAGGAGCCTCTTGTTGAGTCCTCTTGCGCTTGCAGGCGGTTACTCTGGCTGTCTGGGCTGTGCAGAAGACTTACCCATACTTGGCAACTTCAGCAGCAGCTTGGGGCTTTCGCGAGCTGGGGGGCTTATGATCCCGAAACCCTCGATGAAGGCCATGAACCTGCCGGTGTGCCTCCCTTTTTCTCCTCCCCAAAGCCTTGAAAAGCCTCTCAAGAATCTCTCCAAAAATCTCGAGCTGTCTCCGTTAAAAGAGGCCCAAAGATCGAGGCAACCTTCTGTCGCACCCCGCTGGCCCTGCGCTTCTTCTGGCGGGTGCGGACTTCGACGTGCAGGGGGCCCGCTCTGCAAATGAAATGTGGACCCCCTTGGTTCCCCCCGGAGCTGTGTCAAGGCACTAAAACTTCAAGGTGTTGAAGGTGTTGCAGTACCCTGCCGGTGAACGATAAACAGTAGAGAGTAGCATTTGCAGACCCACCAGAGTGAGACTTTGGCTGCAGGGAGGGCTGGTTCAGCTACTTGCCGAATGGCTGCTGCTGCAGCCTCCGGCGCAAGCACTTCAAGTACAGTGGGGATCAGGCGCTCGCTTGGATCGGAGACCTCGAGTCTCGGGTGTGATTTCAGGAGAGTTCCCTCTGAAAAATGGCAGGACTACAGCCAGCTGCCGCATGGTCACGGCACCTGGCAGGAGCCACTTTATCGACCCTGAACCTGGAGCTACCTCCCCTTGACAAGCTTCTATGGTCCTTGCGATGTAATGTGCAGGATGACTCCTACCACGGCGAGGCACGCCCGACGTCGAAAGATGGAACAACTGCCGTGGCTCAATGGAGCACAGGTCTACGAGGGCTGCTGGTCTCGCGGACGACCTTTTGCGCCCTTCATCTCCAGGTGGGACTTGCTGACTGTAGCTAGTGTGAGGCGTGACATGATTTCCCCATGGCCATCGACATTTTGTTCGTTTGTGGATCTTTCTTTCCGCCAAACGTCTGTTTTCAGGTGCTTTGGCACCGGTGCCATCTCCTGTGGTGTCAAGGTGGGCTATGGCACCGTGCGCGCCGAGGTGCGCAATCCGCCAACCGTATCCAAAGCAAGAGCTGGCCGGCACTTCTGGTCATTTTTTTTGTCGTTTTGTTCTGTGATTGATTCCTTGAAGAGGGAGTCGGGAAGTCGAAACGCACAGAGGAGGAGCTCTCGCAAGTCTTCTGCCGGCCGCAGCGAGCTCCCTGGCAAGTTTCAAGGTTCTTGCGGTTGTTGATCCTTCGAAGCGGCACTGGTCTCGGCACTGGTCTCGCACGGGCACTCTTCGCCCCGAGACCACCTGCCTCCTAGATTGATGCCATCACGGGGAGCTTGTGTACTGTCCTCTCATCGTCTTACGCCCTACTGGCCCTTCCGCCTGCGCACGCCCGACCTTCCACCATCTTGCGCACCTCTCCGGTTTCCAGGCTATCGACGGCAGATTCCGCTTCGGCTCGCTCGGCGTGGAATGCTCCGCCTCGGGCACTCGAGCTGCACGACAGTTCCCGACGGCAGTGGAATGAATGAAACAAGCCGGTAAACCAGTTCAAACACCAAGAGCAGCAAATATCTCTGTCTCTCAAAAAGATGAAAAGCAGCTCAAGCGCCTTGAAGCATGCAAATGTCTTCCCCTTGACTTTTAAGAGGCCATTAAGAGGTATTGTATTTTCATGTCTTCCCCTTGTTCTTGTTTCAAATACCCTAAACCCTAAACCCTATAAATGCCCTAAACCCTAAACCCTAAACCCTAAACCCTGAGCCCTAAACCCTAAACCCTAAACCCTAAACCGTAAACCCTAAACCCTAAACCCTAAACCCAGAGGTGGCTTCATGGCGCACCTTCCGCAGCGAGTCGTCGAGCAGCACGCCTGCTGCGACGATGCGGAGCGCCTGGCGCCTTCGGCCCACGACAGGGTCAGAGAAACGAACTTCCCAACATAGCTGGGGGGGCCTCTTCTACCCGAAAATAGAATAGAATCCCCTTAAAGGGAGCCCCCCCAAAGAGGGCACCCCCTATCTTCGGAAACCCCCCAAAATCGCCCCCCCCTCTTTTTTGCTGCTTCTTTAGGTGTTTTTGCCAGATTTTTGTCAGAAACCTTTCTGCCTCTCTTGGCATCTCATCCCAGGTCGCCGACCTCCGAGGCTCCGTGCCGCGACCGCGCCTGTCGGAGATGGATCTCCTCATGGGAGGCTGGTTTTGTTCGCTTTGCTAGATTCGGGTGTCCGAAACAGTCAGAGTAGACCTTGCCCAGTTTGGGTAATAATGCCACCGCCAACCATTTAGATGATCATTTTTAGGAATTCCTATGGTCCCCCCTACAATTCACCGATATATCACTACTACTACACCATTATCAATACAATTCTAGGAATAACCATTACCCCATCTATTATCTCTAAGGTGGCATTATTACCCAAACTGGGCAAGGGGGTTCTCGTAGAATTTGGTTCAGGGTTTAGGGTTAAGGGTTAAAACAACACTGTAATTATAATATATAACTGCTTATGTATTATAATTACACTATAACTATGTATTTGCTGGTTTCAAATGCTTATTCTTAATTTATCCAGAATCCGCTATCCCTCCATACATGAAGTATTGTTTTGAATATTGATTTTCTCAAATCTCTGTCGTCTGTAATTGTCTTAATTGCTTCTCTTAAAATACAGATATTCACATACAGTGAGTCCATACCGCTGTGTTCGTTAAACTTTTCTCCTACTGCCTTAATGTTTTCAAAATTATTAATGTTTTCATACAGTTCAATAATTCCGTCTTCGTCTCGTAAAAAAATACTGTGCCAGAAAAGTTCAAATTTACTCTGAACTGTTTTTTCAACTGGTATTTGAACTCGCCATAAATTATATGCTACTTTCCTCCAAAATTTGTCTCCACTTGGTGGTAATGGGTTTTCAGTTACAAGTTGAATAATGTCTTGTGGTGTGGTTGTCCCTTCTAGTTGCCAATACATCACTCTAATATTATATTAGGGTTTATTCTTTTAAGTCATTATCCTCAGAAAACTATACTCTTAAGATTTTTAACTACAATGTAATTATAATATGTTATTATAATTACATTATAACTATGCTGGTGAGGAGACTATCTAGTTTGAATTTTGAACTATCATCTCATCTAAGAACTCTGTTGTTGCTTCTAAATATTCATAATGTAATTGTTTGTCTATATTAACACGATATTGTAAAGAATGTGTGATCTTAATAAAAATATGATATACTCTTTGATAATAATGAGAATAACCACATAACACATCTTTGTAATAATTAATTTTCTCCTGATGCCATTGATAGAAGTCAAATGTATCCAGGTTCTCATACATTGTTTTCATTTCAATATGTAACTCAAGTGTATAATCTTTCTTTTGAACATCATTTCGCATTATTTCATGAACTTCATCATATTCTGGGTATTTGTTTAACTTAGTAAAGGGTAATATATAATCATCAAACAAATTTCTTAACTCACAACATTTATCACAACCATAGTAACCTACGATCTGATTTTTAAAGCTATGTAAGATATCGCATTTGTCTAGTAATATTTTCTGTATGTTCTTAACTGGGTTACATTTATCACATCTATTGAAATAATTAAATTTGTGTATCTGATTATACAAATATGTTTCATCATATTCACTCTCACTTTCATATTCGCTCTCACTCATTACCACGATAATATATAAGTTGTTATTTCTTTAAGTCATTTTTCCTCAGAAATATTATTTTCTTAAGATTTACTGCATCGCGGTTTACTTGACAGATTTATCCAAGCATTCAGAACAAGTCGCAACGTATTTAACATAATAATAAGAATGCTTACCAGCGTAATAACGCTTAAAACAATCAATATTTTTGTCTTGCTTACACCGACAACACTTCCTAGTAACAACATTTTTTGTTTCAGTATATGGTTCAAAATCAACTAATATCTTATCTACTTGTACTGGCATTATTATTATTATATACACTTTTTCATAATGCGATATTATGAAAATTTGCACTGGTTCCTTAAGATTTAACGAAACTAATTACGAATTAATGTCATTACCAAACTCTTATGGTTTGCCTATGAACCTGTAGAACTTGCTAGGCACACGGGGGCATTGGCTCACTTCCTTCTTCTGTTTTGATTGGGGGCTTTTTATGCCAAGATGGCCTGTCATTATACACGATATTTTAATCCATAATATTTAAATTATTCTTCAAAATATTTACATCTTTGTCTATCCTTTCAACATCCTCCTCCACTTTTTCTAGTCTCTGTTCTGGCGTAGGCTTTCTTGATCCAAATCCGGTTGTCACTGTATCAACACCTTCATTATCTTGTGAGCTTGTTTTAAAGATGTCGTTTTCATCGGGGGTAACTCCTCTACCACCAAGTTTCCAAGAACTCCTGTCTTCAATTATTGTTTTGCCTTCATTGTTGATTTTTGTTTCTTTGTGAAAAGTCTTTCTTCTGCATTTGCAGGGCAAACAGTTTAACCCATCCGTGTTCAAGTGGAAGCCACCTTCATTAGATTCCCTATGATTGTCGTTCATTATACTTTCTTAGATTTTTTTAAATACTCAAGAACTGCTTTAAGCAATTCTAAAGAAGTGGTGCAACACCTTTTAAGCTTGGTGTCTTGTATTACAATCTTTTCAATTTCCTCAATTTCCTCTATCGTTTCTAAATACCTATCCATTATATTAAAAGATATTTTTCTCTTATTAATTAATGAGTGCAGAAATACCTAAAGTAGAACCGATAGACATACCCGAATATAAATATAAAAACAGCAAGTTTGACATGATGCCGAAGCTACCCGCGCGGATGTTATGCGTGGCTTCTTCAACAGGTGGTAAAACAGTATTGATACAGAACTTGATATTAAAAATCTATAGAGGATCGTTTGAGAGAATATACATCTTCTCGCCCAGTGTTCATGTTGATGACACTTGGTCGGCAGTAAAGAAATACATAAAGGACGTAATGAAGGTGGATGCCGAAAAAGAACAGCTTTATTATGAGGAATACGATCCGGTGGCGCTAAAGAAGATCATAGACACCCAACATAAAGTAATTGATTTTCAGAAGAAGAATAAACAAAAGGATCTGTTTAGCATTCTGTTAGTGGTGGACGATTTCGCCGACGATCCCAAATTTGTAAGATACTCAAGCTTGTTACATGGATTATTCACGAGGGGTCGTCATAATGCCATCTCATGCATTTTATCCACGCAGAAATATAATGTATTGGCCCCGATCATTAGGTTAAACGCATCTGCTTTGTTCATCTTCAGGCTCAAGAATATGAATGAAGTCAACGCATTTTTGGAAGAGAATTCCGCCTTGGTGGACAAAAGCACGTTATACGAAATGTATCAGAAAGCCGTGAATTTTGCTCCTTACTCCTTCTTCTACATAAACACCAATGCTAAAGATGTTAGTAACATGTTCTTCATCAACCTTGAACAGCGCTTTGAAATAGGAGATAGTTAATAATATCTTAATAATATTATTATCTATTAAAGTAATGATACAGGGCAACAATGTAAAGTAGTAAAACTAAAGCATGGGCATTTCTTTTTCTTTTTTAATGCTTCTACCTTCTTTTCTTCTTCTTCCAACTTTTGTAATAGGTCTTTCATAGCAGTTAGTAATATATCTGTTTCAGATACTTCCCTACTTTTCTGTTTTATTAGTTCCATACACACTTTATACTGATTTTCAAACTCTGTCATATATATTATAGCATAAATTTAATACCTCTCAAATTCTTCAATTTCATAAAACAGTCCTTTTTCATCATTACACATTTCATCGTATAAATCTTCATAAATCCAATAGTTATACCCTCCCTCTTTATCTTTATTATTCCACATTTCCTCTAAGTCCATAACATATTTAAACTGGTAATCATCAATATATTCAATAAATTTACTATAATTTTGTTTTATTTCTTGTATGTTTTTTTCTCTGATGTTTGGATAATAATGTATAAACTCTATAAATAATTGGTTTATAAAGTAATCAAATATAGCTTTAATGGCAAATCTTTTTATTGTAAATTCCATATCTAAAAAGTATTCATTATAATAACCACTTTTGTCATCTTCATGTTTCCAATAAATTTTTGCTCTGTACATAATCATATATATATACTACATACTTAACCTTTCATCGCTATCGCTTTTACTCTTACCCCTTTTTTTCAACTTTGTTATTTCCCCTTTCATGGTGGCCATTTCCTTTTTCATTGCTTTGAATAAATCTTTCATTTCCTCGTTTTCATTCATAGTATATTGTAAAGCACTCCATAAAATTGGCACACATGTTGTGTAATCAAATTTCAAATAGCCATCTTTTCCTTCTTTTACTACATTCTGCCATTCATCTGGCATCTTCTTAGTTTCCATAAAATCATTAGCAATAAATCCAATACACGATTTACCTTGTTGTCTGTCATCATGGAAATGGTATGTCTTCGGTTTAATATACTTTACTAACTCTACTGCCTTTTTACTACTTACTTCTTTTATGTCTTTCTTTAACCTTTTATCCGATGAAGGAATTAACGACCCTGTATATGAAAGATCACCGTAAACATCAACACCTGTTGTTGTTGCGTCTAACGTTGATAAGTTATTATTGCTTAATCTTATCCATCCGTTGTCATCTGGATTATTTATTAATACTCGTTGCTGTCCTGTTATATCGTCGTGAGTTATTTCTAAATTTCCTAGTAAATTCACTTTGCCTTCTGTCAATTGAAGCTCCGGTGTGCTTCCTATAGTTCCAATAATAAAATTAATTGCTCTGTCTGTGTCTCCATTTCTTATATCTAGATCATAATCACTACCGTTTAAAGTTTCCTTTATGGATGATGAATGTTGAAAAAATAACTCTCCCCATACATCTAAATCTGCTTCTGCTGTTATTCTTCCTATACTGTTAAAAGTAAAATTATTTGTAACTGCTCTGTTCAATGTTATTCCGTTAGTGTCGTTTAGTTGTAAAGCAATAGATGCTGTTGTTGGATCCGTTGCTCTGTTAGGCTGAAACGAGAAATTTATTTCGTCATTTGTTATTAAATTTAAGGAATTATTAGCGTCTGTTCTTCTGTATATTTTGCTATTATTCCATATCAATATTTCATTATTAAAGGTTGTAGCGCCGTTAAACCTTA